CTTCAACTCGTTGTCTTGGTGCAGCTTTGATAATACAATCGACACGCAAAATCATTTCAGCAGCCTCAGCCGCAGACACTAATACTTGTCTTTTGACAACAAAAGACTCAGTAATTCCAATCTCTCGCATACATCCTAATGTGCCTTTTTCCATATCTAAAATAAAATTTTGAATAGAGTATAATTTAAACTAGAAAATCAAATATTAAAATATTATAAACTTACCAAGACCCATAGAACTCTTACCAAGAGCATGATTGGCTCTCAGTTCATTGACAAGCTGTGCAGAATCTAAACCAKCATTATCTGCAATAGTGGTGGGGAGAGACTGTAAAGCCCGTGAAAATGCCTCCATGGCTACTGCTTCTTTTCCTGGTGTTTTAGCAGCTACAGCACTTACTGCATTTGCCATAAGCATTTCACTGCAACCACCACCATACACAATGGTTGGTTCTCTGACAGTCGATGATAAAACACATAAAGCATCATGTAAGGAACGGTCAGCCTCATCAATAATTTGTTCAGTCGCACCACGGATGACGATGGTACAGGCTTCACCAAGAGCTACACCAGAGAAACGTAACAACGTGCTTTCCCCAATCATTGTTTCTTCGATAAGTTTACATGTACCCAACTTGGCTATAGCAGGAGAATCGAATGTTGATAGAATCTCGCCACCAGTCACAAGGGCTAATCGTTCAATTCCATCAAAATCGGCATGTTCAATAGCCATAATACCAGCATCAGCAAAAAGCTGTTCAGGGTAATTGTAGATCAATTGTCTAAAACAACATATCAACAAATTATCTAACTTAAAACATATAAGTCGGAATTTGATTATTCATACAGTAAAATTGTACATTAGTTTTATTTAGAGAACAAGGAATTAACTAATATTTGAAAAATTGCAACAAAGGTAGGTGTTATATTTTTAATTTCAATCAATATAATTTAAGATTAATTATAAAAGTAAAAGTAATAATAGTAACACCAATAATAAACAGTTTAGGACAGAGGTTCCCAAACTTCTTTGTCTCACGAAGCCCTTTTTTRAAATAAGAGGTTTACATGGTGCCCCTCATAAAAAACCAGAACAATTTGTAATATACAGGATGATTCTTTTATCAAAAAACACTCATTATTTAAAAAAGTATTAACTTTTTTTCAAAATATTTTTTTACAAAGTTTCAAGTTGTTAAAAAATCAAAGTTCTTATTAAAAAACCAAAGTTTTTATTCAAAAATTACATTTTTTATCCTTCTAATTTTTTAAGTTTTTTACTTTTTTGAATGACAATATAGTTTCAATTTCATATTCCAAAGCAGAATATTTTTCTAAGTATTTTGATTCATTAAAATCGAATTTAGGACAAGTAGTTATTGAGTTATAACTTATAAGACATCAGTTATATTAAGATTTAGGTATATATATTTATTTGTATATATTAAATTAATGGGATGAATGAACATAAAAAWTTTTACGGCAGCGTGGCGCCCCTGTAAAGACACTACGGCACACCAGGGCGCAGTTTGGGAACCGCTGGTTTAGGAGATAGAAAATTAAATAATTATTTTCACAGCTAATTTAATGTAAGAAATAAATATTATTTTAGTTATAAGAAAACAATTTTCTATTACCTGTTAATGAAAACATTGCATTCATGAGAAAGTATTTTTCCTATTTTGTCTTTCATTTTTTCTTTTTCTGCCAATTCAAGTTCAGCTACTTTAGCCATAGAATCAACTTTAATGCGAGATCCAAATACTTTAATTTTATCTGTATCCATAGGAGTATTGGCAATAAGTATACGAGCATTTTCAATACGTTTTGGCTGATGTTGACCAGGTTTTTTGTCGAGAAGAAAACCTATTAAAATTTAAGTTAATTGATAATTAAAGTTTATATAATGGCATGTGTTAAGTGAACTTACCTTCATCTAAAAATGAATCTTCTAAACATCCACCTTTCAATTTAATAATTTGTATAGCTGATAAATTGCCAGAACCTTTCAGACGCAAAATTGCATCAACGGACAGTTTAGCGAAATGTTCTTTGTGCTGAGACAAAATTTTAGAGCTTAAAGTTGTACGAGCAATGTTCAATAAATCTTCTCGRAATTTAGCTTCGTTTTTACTGTTATCCATTGTAGAAGCCTGTAAAGCATCATGTGCAATGGCTGTTGCTTTTCTCCATCCAGATATAATAACTTGAGGGTGAATTTTTTGATCAACAAGTTTTTCTGCTTCACGTAACAATTCAGCGGCTAAAAAAATAATAAAAACATTCTTAATCTTTTAACAAACAACAGAAGGTAATGTTTTTAAGTTTTATTTYAATTTTATAGAGTTTTAATTATTAAACTAACATATTTATTGTAATGTTATTTATGTATTTGTCATAATTCATTTTAAACATAATTAATATAGATATCCAAAATAATTGATGACTATCATTATACCTGAACATAAAAAGGTACTTTGAATAAAATATTGTTATAAAATAAGAGAACAAGAATATTTATTATTGAGAACAATTTTATTCATGATTTGAAGACTAGATATTTATCAATATTACCTTTTAAAATACAATAAGTACCTATTAAAATAATTAAGTATATAATTTATTTCAGCACTTGTGATATAAAATTAATTGTTTTGACAAAAGAGTAAGACTTTAAATATTATAAAACTTGAGTTGAAACAACATAGGACATTCAGGAAAGTACCTTTATACCTAATAATACCTTTATAGCCTTTATAGCTTATATACCTTTATAGCCTAACCTTTATACCTAATAATAAATAAGACTTTTAAGCTAGAACATTCATTAATTTATCATTTATACACACATGACACATTTATGAATTACGCTATAACTGTAAACAATTTGTCATATTACCTAGAACAGTAACAGATGTGGTACCATCTCCAACTTCACCGTCTTGAACTTTAGACATATCAACCAATATTTTGGCAGCTGGATTATCAACTCCAATATTTTTCAAAATTGTTGCRCCATCATTGGTGACTTCAACTTTAGCATCCATTCCTCCACGGCCGGGCGATATAAGTATCTTGTCCATTCCTTTTGGTCCCAATGTGCTTTTGACCAAATCACCAATAGCAATGGCTCCAATGAAACTAGACAAGCGAGCATTTTCACCTTTGTCTTCTTCGGCTTGATTTTTCAATATACGTACTGGATTTAAAGAAACCTAAGTTGGAAGAAAATGACCAAATAATATTACTAGGTATGTACTTTTAACAAAACGCCTACATAAATCAATTTGGTTTTAGTAGGTTAAGTGAACATAGTAACATACCAAACAAACAAAAATTGTTACTTACCATTTTGGTGATCTATAGAATAATATTAATGTTATATAACGAATACACTATGCCGGAATGACGGCGATTATGGTTTATATAAAATATAAAAAATTCAATAATTCGGTTCTTTACAAATATCGCTCGCAAGATCACAACGAGGTATTAAAATAAAATGTATAATACTGTATTGGTCGACCGGTGGTGGGTGGTTACTCATGTAGTCATGTGTATCATGGTTGGTTAAGCTTTAGTTTATCACTCGAATCTTATCAAAGATTGCAGTTGATCAGTGATACCATCCTAACATTGCAGTGTTAAGTACWGGGAAATTTGAAAACAAAACGCGCCATTTTTTAATTATTATACATTTGGTTTCTGTAAAAAGGTGAAGTTCTGTTTGCACMYAGTGGCGAAACGAACCTAAAATAACACATAAGCAAACTTAGTACTTACAATTTACACACCCACCCACCGACTTACGGGCTATAGGTACCTCTTATATATTTAAAATATTTTTTTTWAATAAACATTTACCTCTAAACCTWAAAAAAATCGAGAAGCAATCGCTTCTCAAAGACCACGGTCGTTTCGCCACTGTTTGCACAATAGAATTTTGTATTATACTGGAAGATATCATACTTTAGTGTAAAAAAAATCTAAAAATGTGGCCTCCAAGTGTATTTAAAAATTCCAAAAATCAGGATTTGAATATTTGCATAATTTAAGCATAAATATAAGACGAGCATGCTTAAAAAAATCAGTTACATAAACGTATAATAAGAACATGGAAACAAATTTTAAAATGCTTATTTTTATTTTCATGCATCATATCATCTTATCATATTACGTTATATCATATGACATGTATATTTATACCGTTTAAGGACTAGGGAATTGACTACAGTACATATAATCAGTAATTACTAATAATAACAAATTGCACAACATAATATTGTTACACAACACAGTGCTCGACTTGGCAAAATTAAAGTAGAGGGACTCTGTTAACTTTAAAAAAAAAGAGCGTCCCCATCGCTCTTCATTCTCAAAAAAATAACAATCTTTATTAATATTGATACCAAATATTAGTGAATTATTATAAAAGTGGTAACTGATTATATATTATATTATACTAGGTTATGAAACGTGATTAAAGACAATTAATTTAATAATTATTATTATTAAATTCATGGTAAGAAAAATTATGATATTACCACGTGCATTTTGWTAAAAATGAAGAATGATGCAGCGTCCCGTGCGGCCGTGCGTTCCCCTTAAAAAAATAAACGTAGTGGCACGCTAAAATTTCTGAAAAATTAGTTGGAGTACTCTGTCCCCCTGCGACCCCCRAGTTGAGCGCTGGATGTTGATCGTTATTCCATGTAAGTATGTAACATGTAACTAATGAAAATAAACATAACCTGCATGTACACATCAAATASSTAATACTTATAGTAATAGTATTTTACAATATTATATTTAATAAATAATAGTATTTATTTTTATATTATGTTTAAGTATTATAAGGAGTAGGTACTATACATTATACAAGCTTATATTACGATTTTCGAGTATCATACAACAATTAAATAGTAAGTACCTAATAACAATTATTTTACACAAAATATAATATTATTTTGAATTTTTTTCAATTCAAATAACTTAGTATTATTTTTAAGTAAACACTGAACAATGTAAATATATATACAATATTATTATAATATGCTCGAAAATAATAAATATAGGTTGGACGTTCTTTTTTCCATTCGTTGGCATTGCGATCTCTCGCAGAACATCGATGTGCTACAGTCATATTAGGGTACACACAATTTACACCATCGATTTTCTTATGTTATTTTTTAACGATCGGTGGATTTAATCCATAATATTATGAATTATTATATATAGAAATAATGGAGTATTCCTCATTTCAGAGGTTGACTTCGCGTAGTTTTACGTGGTTGTCCAACACCTCGGTGAACCACTTCCGCTTGACTGGCTCGGTGAGGAACGTGGACACGACCTTGAGGTGCAGCCCGACCACCGATTGCTCGTCCATGAGCGCGACGATCTCGTTGCACAGTTCCGGTCGGTTCTTGAGCGCGTACAAGCTGATATACGTGTGGCCCAGCTTGGACTCGACCTGCAGGTTGGTGTCCACCCATTTCTCTACCGCGTTAGACCCGACGCTCATCACCTGTCCCTGGTATTCGGTATACTGTGGCGACAGCAACAACTCCGTATCCGATTCTGAACAGTTGTTCAGCACGCACTTGTAAAATTTGTTGTAGAACACCGGAAGATACACCAACACCTGTACACGGAACAGACAAGACCGTACGGTCATGTGATTATCGATCATCATTATACTATAATACCGAGTGATCTGCCTTATGTGAGACACTATTTATTACGAGTTTTTTTTTTACGTTAGAGAATTTTAAGTCGTTAAAAACAAAATTTTTCTAAAAAAGTATTCGTTTTACTATTTTTTATTGGTAAAATGTATTTTTTATTTTTTTCTTTACTTGTTCTTTATTCACAACATGATGTATTTTTAATTCCTTATTCCAAGACAAGCTGTGTTGTGGAGTACTTCGATTCATACAATAGTATTTTAGATGAGTAGCTAATGAGTTATAARAATTTAAAGTTTACATGAGCGGAGTGGAATGGTACAGGGATACCCYAGGCAAAATTTATAAACTATATCTGCTCAGTGCTCACTGATCAATTATAAATTGCAGCATAATTTATCATAAAGTTATAATTTTATCATTGCAGATTGCAGCTCTGAAATTTAAACACACTCGTTKAACAATATACATCACTCGACAATATATTATTGTATTACATTTTCAATTAAAAATTGATTTAATAATTTTTCTGTTTTATAATGCGTTTACTACTTCCCTTTGTATTTAAATTTAATTGTAATTTTAGTTTAATAATCAATTCATATATATAATTATTATAAGTACCGCCATTATGTATCACCGTAAAAAACATTATGCTTATTAATACCTAGTTAATATTATTATTATACATTAATTAAACAAAATAAATGTGAACCGTGCACGTGCTTACCAATTTAGGGAACACTGAATTTCTCGGCCAGAGAATATGTTGGAATAAATCGAATTTTTTTTACAAGCTAGTGGTACACATTTTCAGATAAATTTCAAATTGTTAACCTTCTCGGTACGCGCATGCGCAATGCAACTTATTTTTTTTTTTATTAGTAACCGGTATTTTTGATACCAAATTCGGATAGACTGAATTTTTTTAAGTCATTTTGACCAATTAACCATAGCTTTAAAACCAAAATTTATTGAATGAGAGCCATTCAAATTTTAATAAATAATACATTTTTACAATTCATCATAAAATGCATAAAACCATTTATAATCATTTATTATTGGTTACTTTTTGAATATTTTTACGTACACAGTTGTAAACAATTTTAATTAAATAATTTTATATCCATATTATGTTAATCGTATTTGTGACACGTATATAAAAAAAAAAATACAAAAAAACACGTACAAATATTCAAAAAGTAACCAATAATAAATTATTATAAATGGTTTTATGCATTTTATGATGAATTATTGTAAAAATGTATTATTTATTAAAATTTGAATGGTTCACATTCAGTAAATTTTGATTTTAGAGCCATGGTTAATTGGTTGAAATGACTTTAAAAAAATTAGTCTATCCGAATTTGATGTCAAAAATACCGGTTGCTATTAAGAAAAAATATGTTGCATTGCGCATGCGCGTACCTAGAAGGTTAAAAATTTGAAATTTATCTGAAAATGTGTACTACTACCTTGTAAAAAAAATTCGATTTATTCCAACATTCTCTGGCCGAGAAATTCAGTGTTCCCTAAATTGGTGAACACACGGCGGTATTATGTATATAATATATTTTGTTGATTAAGAGGACGTGATACCCGCATGTGTTGTCTCCGTCTTACAAATGCGTAACATGGTACATTTTTCGCTCAGCAGAACACGTGTAGCTCCKTTAACTTRAAAATTAKAGTGAACTGAYCTCTTATAAAATTTAAAGGTAAGATTATTATCTAAACAACCTCATATGCTTTTTATTTTATATTAAATTTAAAGCGAGTTATGAGTATTTTAAAATTGTGAATTNATAATGCACTTGTAAGACAGAGACAACACATGCGGGTATCACGTCCTCTTAAGGCACTTACTGTTTTACTGTTTAATTTAAATTATTCAAGATATGGTTAAGTGTTAATCYATACCTGGAAGACAGTATCTCCTAATGTGTATTCATCGATATAATGTGATCCATGCTCTGTAATAAAATCCGTYACCATGGATTCTATACCAATGGACATGCATTTGAATTTTTCAGAAATTGTTGATTTTAATTCTGCCACTTGTGTAAAGTTGTCAAATGTTTTAATACGTTTCACCGGTCGTCTATAGGACACAATAACGAATTTTTGTCCGAATCCCATTGCTATATCAGGTACACCAAAACGTTCGGATACCAAATGCCGTGATCTACTCGTTGTCAACAGTTTCCATGGCTTATCGGATAGATCAACTTGAAATCCATCAAAATATACGTCAAATAGGCAGTCCAAATCGGGACAAAATGTGATGTTGAGTAAATTTGTATGGTTTTTTGWYACATTTAAAACTTCACTGAAAAAAAAATTATTTATACTTATTAATACAAACACATCTATTAAATAAAAAGAATAATACCTATATGTAGAAGTTAATATAGATCATTACTAAATAATGGCAAATACGCGCAATACTACAAAAGAAGTGTATTGATCTTCCAGTTATTTATAAATATTTCAATTTATGTAATCATATAGGTAATTTATGATTCATAATCATATAATATTTATTTATATAATGTGCACATCATGCTTGTATTTACATAGTTCATAGTTCAGGAATCAGGAGTAAATGCTTATTCATATATCATTAACTTTTATTTTTTTTATTTTTTTTTATTAAAAGTATTTACAATCAATAGAATAGAATTAATTTAATAAGTAAATTTGATAATTAATAATGATTACTTGACAGGAGATTATCATTAATGAGCAAACATTCAGCAGTGCCTCCAAACCGAGTTCATTTTAGGTAACATAGTGTATTTTTTTTATTTGAGTAGGTTCTAGGCCTTTATCTTTTGAGTCTTCTACATACATAGAGAGGTGGAGATTATTGTTACTTGATTAATAGGTTACTGTAAGAGTTCAAGTTAGTATGAAATAATTGGAATTTAAAGTAAATATAGTAATAATATAGTATTAAAGTAATAATTTCAGATTAAAGGTAAAGGAATTTTTAGGTCTTACTACTGGTCTTAGTGAAGACAATATTGTTGGTTAAGCACAAATATATTATTATGTTATTATTTGTAATTTGTAATTTATATTGACCAATTATCATGATTTATATTCATACAGAAATAGATTTTTTTGTACATCACATCGTCTATACGTATATACACCATGCATATTATTTAGATATTAACTTTTCAAGAATGAACGGTCCAGTTATCCAGATAGATAACATAAAAACTGACTTTTTATTTGTTCCTATAATGTATACGGATAAGAGCCTCTAAAATATTTTTTAACGGAACCTCTGCAAAATTGTAATTACGATACCTAATAATAATAACTTCATTTTCTGATAGGTATGAATGTATTTTTTATATAATGACAACAATCATAGGTTGACTCAGGGGATAGGGGACTTAGCCCCCCCCTCAATTATTATTAGATATAATATATACTTTTATACTTATAAATACCATTAAAACTTTTTGTGTTAAATTTTAAGATACTAATAATAATCGTGGTTTAACATTAGTATCCGTGGATATTTTTCGATGTATGAATAGTCAGCAGGGCTTTACCCCTTCCCCCAACAAATTGAACCAAATTGCGCCTATAACGACAATACTGTAGGTTTAACTWTTGGGTACGTAATTTTCGTTTTTTAGATTCCGTATACAAAATGTAAGATATTAAACCAAATAGACTAAACCAATATTATACTTATACCTAGCCATAAAATTGATATTTCTATGAAAAAAAAAAAAATACATTTCTAATTCTTATCGCTGGCTTTGTGTAAATGGTTATTCAACAAAATAGTCCAGTCCAGAGGTCTTCGAAATTCAAACCACAGCCGGCGGACCACATGTACCTAACGATTTGAGCGGAATGCTTATAATCATGTTATAATTAATAATATGTATAAATTCTCTTTAAAACAATATGTATTTAACGTATCCATTGTAAATGGTATCAATAAATATCAAAATATACAGAGAAAATCSGTAGATATCAGGTATGGTATATAAAATATATATAATAACATGTACAATATAACTATACATTTTCGTATTAACAGGAAAAATTATCAAAACTTATCTGTGGCGCACTGTGAAAAATATTGACCCGTAACGGTATTACAYTGCATATCATTATAATTTACGAGTAGCGTATCCGTTCTATAAGGTGTGCCACGGTCAATTCATTCAACATGTTTTATATATATATATGTGTGTTATAATAACTGATAATCGATATAGAATAATAGGTACAGCCTTTTATGGTTGGCCTGAGATGCAATGATGATGGTATAAGTACAACTATTGCAGTTTYACAGTTATATACAAGTCAGAAATTCTGAAGTCATATTTATAAATTGCATAGGAATAGTATCTGTCTGGGATTCATATCCACTAATTTATATTATATAGGTACCTACACCTAGCCGCTACACCTAGTGTAATGTACTTGGGATGGGCTGCATCACTTATACTCCAACAAATAAACACAAATTTAATTATTTCTCATACACCGAGAGTTATGTGCCTACTACAATATTAAATCACAGAGTAGATGAAATTTCATCTATTCTGTGATTAAATAGCGATTAATATTTCCAGTACAATAATAATTGTCTGTATTTTTACACAGGAATATTTAATTTACCGGTCTCGTGATTTTTATTGACAATGTGCAACAAAAGTCCTGCTCATATTTAAACTTATAATTTTGCTTCAACACTAACCTATATCACAGTATTATAAATTAAAAGTTTATGACATAATATATACCTGTAGTTTATATCAACTAGAAGTAGTATTGTAGTTCCAACATTATAGATAAATATATTCATATAAATATCAATTCATTTTTACCCTTAATCATGATAATGATCATATATTATACAATCTACAGAACAATATAATATGCCATATTATTATGATTTGTACTCATATATTATATATATATATATCATTTATAAAATAGTTATATGCCTATATTAATTATAAACTATATGCAATATGATCGAAAAATTTTCATTAATATTACTGAAATGGCCAAAATACTCGTACACAACTCCTAAATGATAAATCCACACGGTATATTTATGAATAAAATCAGTAGACAGTAAAAACGTATTGTTTCAAAATATTGCGTTTAATTTTAATATTTATAGATATTCAGTTCATAGATGATACCTAATATAGTTATGGGCCTATTGATAAATTTATCGAACCCTATAGTATATGCTATTTTTACTACACATAAGGTCATAACTGCAAATACTGATAATAGATACAAGTGGTCATAATTATCCGATGAGCACATTAAGGTCATTTATACTATATAATATACTATGCTTCAAATGAGTAAATTTAATTTATACAGGCTTATAACAAAATATAAATACAATTAATGTCTATCATTATATAATTTTTTAAATGTCGAATAAATAGTTGGAAGAATGACATAAAACAAATATTCGGCAACAAATGAAATGAAGATTTAATGTTTTTATAATATTTAAATGTTAGCATATAATACATCAATTCTTACTAGGGTAATATTTATTGCGGTTGGTTAACCACATTAATTGTCTGCGATATATTTATATAATGACTTGGTAGCAAGGTTTTAGTAGAATTATTTTAATTTTAAATTTTCATGACATACATATAATATCAAAAAATTACATCATATATTTTTTTAACATTTTTGTAGACAATCGAATTGATACTTATTTTATAATTTTAGATTCTGAGCGGAGCTATGAATGTATTGATTTTACAATTATGTGTATTTTGTATGTGTGTGGCTGTGCCACACGATAAGTTGTAAAAATAGAGCTTCGATTTTAAATTTCAATAGCTTTTCCGGATGGAAAGTGAATCTAGTCGGTGCAYTGGGGAAGTCCAATGTTATTCTGAAATTCCCAGTAATTTTTTCAAGCAACAGGAAAATAAAAAATAAATTAAGTAAAAACGGGAATTTTTCCGCAAAATGATGGTGTAATTCGAAAAAAAAATTACCGTAAACACATGAAATTTTTAATGTATGTTTATAATTATAATTTTAGTACTTGATAGCATTTTAAAAATATTTCAAATCTTTTTAAGTTGCTTATAAACATTTGAAATTTTCAATCTTCCTAGTTTTTTTTTTTTTATAAATGATAATAAAATTTTAATCGTTGAGTAAAAAAGTTTCAAAATTTAATACAAGGTTCCTTATATATTGTCACAATAGTAGTTAAAAAATACTAAAAAAACATAGTCACCATTTTTTTTAATAAGCATTGAAAGTTCAAATTTTGATACAATACGTCGTAAAAATCACGAAAATTTGCAATTTATTAGGTAAGAGTTAAAAATTCATAAAAATTGATCTTTTAAATATAAGATTTGAAAATTCAATACAAGATTTTTCAYGAGTTTGTCTATTTTTATCAAATAAAAAAGGTCTACTGGAAATTTAAATTAAATTTTTATGAGCATTTGAATAATTACAACATTAGATATTCACTCAATTTTTGTTGTACCGATATTCTTATTTTGTCGTTTTTCAAAAATGAATTGCTGCAAAAACTTGAAATGTACTCCATATGTCTTTTTATCAATTTTATGSTTCATAWAATGTTCAAAATATWACAACAATTTTAAAGTTATTTTTAGACATTTAAAATTTTCCGTTTTTTATTTTTTTATTTTATAAATGTCAATAAAATTTTACTCATTGGGTAAAAAAACAAGAAAATGTAATACATATAGGTAATACAGGTTCCCCATAATTTGATATATAATAGCAGTTGGAAAATATTAAAAATACATAGGCAGGGTTTTATTAAAACCAAATAAAGTTCAAATTATGACAAATATAAAATTCACAAATTCTTTGGTTATTGAAAACTTATAAAACGTTTAACTTTTATAGCTAAGGATAGAAAATTTAAAACAAGGTTCCGCGTAGGTTAATTTTGCTACTGTTTTTAATTATAGTGCTACAAAAAAATGTAAAAACAATCCAAACACAGTTTCTTTTATAGTTATTTGAGTTCAAATTAGATGAAATTACATACTAAATAATCAATAATAACAGTTTTAGTTATATTGTTGTAATTTAAAAATATTATTTGTGAGTACTTAAATTTCTAGAGTATACTTTATGTACTAATATT